CACTTCCAGCAAAGCAGGAGGTGGAAGACAATGCTACTGTGTGTGTGAAGGCACAGAGGAGAACGTTTACAGCAAGCAGTTTCCTCCAAGTCCAACTTCTGCCTTGACAGATCTCTGGAGAGAAAAAGGAGGAGGCAAGGAAGCAGCACTCCTTGATCCTGGATGAGGGAGGCTGGACCTTTTTGAAAGGGAATCAATGCTTCCAACCGTGTGTGCTAAGGATACTGGCTTGATGGGACAGCCTTCCCTCACTCAGTTCCCCCACCAGCCCCTCCAGAGATCTGTGCTTCCACATGCAGCAGCATTGCCCTCCACCTTCTTTGAAAGTGGGAGGGGGCAGGCAAGGCTGGAAGAGGGGATCCGGAGGTCTCTGGTAAAGGAGGATGAGACCAGGGTGAGTGCCAAAGCCTAGTCCACCAGAGGAGTCTCGCTATCCCTCTCAGGCCACATGGAGGATCCACGGATGGCAGCACAGGCTTTCCAGAGCCCTGGGCAGCAGAGGGCAAGCACCCAGCCCGGCCCTCCTGCTCCTGGGGCATTGGGACCCATAGCCCAGCTCAGCCCAGCCCCGCTTACCCGAGGGAGCGCCCAGCTGCACTTATCTCCTTGAGGCTCCTGTCGCTATGCTCGCTCTCCTTGGGCAGGTTGCTTATTGTGGGTGTGGGAGAGAAAAGTTATGGATTGTCTTTCCATGTGAGGAGACCATGTTTTGTAACCAAAGCATCATGAGCAATAGGATGGGAGACTACCAGGACAGGACAGGACAGGACAGGACAGGACAGGACGAAGCGGCAAGGGGATGGCAAAAGGGCATCAGGACTGCTGGTGGCGAAGTACTAAGGCAGGACTTCTCTCACACCCTCCCTCTCATTCCAATCTGCCTGCCTCCCATACTTCCTTCCTCCTCCTTTCCTCCCTCCCTCCCTCCCTCCCTTCCTACCCTCATTCCCATCTCGTCCCTCCCTCCCCCCATGCTCAGAAAGGGATGAGGGGAGGGGAAGAGGTTGGCAGCATTGCCAATGGCTGGGCCAACGGTGGCTCTGGCTTTCCCAAGTGGGGGCTGGGGCAATCCCAGGAAAGGAAACTCCTTGTGGCCATGGAGATGCTGGTGGCTTGTGCAATACTGATCTACAACTTCGTAGTGGCTATGGAGGCCAGAACACATGCCCCCTGGTCATGCGGATAGGAGGCAGTGAGCATGCAGAGCCAGGCATCCCCAATGACTGTCTTGCCCCGCAGGCTCACCATGTTCTGAGTCCTTCCCTTTCACCAGGATGTCTCCAGGGTGGCCCCTTGGGCCCAATCTAACCACATTGTGTGTTTGACATGTCTACATTACAACTGCCTCCTAATTTGCCTTGCATTTAAGAATATGATCCTACCCTACAACTGCAGTTAGCAATTCTACTTTTAATGTCTCAGTAGCGCTAGGTTGATATTAAAAATAGTTGGAAAACAACTTGAGATACCATTATTTATATATGTATTAAGCAGAAAATGTCCAGAGATGTTGGACAATAAACCTCAGATATTTAATCCAATGGAAAAAAACTGAAAGCTCTTACATTTTATTTTCAGAGGACCTGCAAAATTATCTATCATATTTAGCTAGTCGCAAGAATAATTTGTATGAGGCATTAACAAATAAGAAAGAGTTCCAAGTTTAAGAAGAAATTATGTTGGACAGAGCCATGTGACTTACAGTAGTAATGAAGTCTGCTTGTCTGTATTGTTTCTTTTAAAAATACAGATGCAACCTGGCTGGCTCAAATATTAGAGGCTATAGTTGGAAGTGAATCCAACCAGGGTAGTTCTGTTCTGGGATTCACAAACAAGTTCACCTAATTTCAGTGGTCCAGTTAGGATTCCGCAGATGTCATTTAAATAACATAGACAATCACTGATTTAGCCCAACTGTCTGTCAAAGGAACGTCTTAAGTGCATGCAACTATTTGTATATATGCTGAACCTCAGATTCAAAACAACAATTATTTGTAGCAGGTGGGTGAATTATTTCTAATGGGCATGAACTGAGCACTCAGAATACCTAACACATGACTAGGGTTTGTTTACCATTGTATCTAGAAAAAAAAGCTGACTATAATTTTTTAAATTAAATCTATACTATATTTTACTTTTTTATTACCTATTGTGTTCAGTTTATGGTTTTTTTAATTGATCATGAATCATCAAGTCATCAAGTTTCATGTCTTAGCAACCACATAGATTTAATTGCAAATCATTTTATATTTTGTATCCTTTGTTTATTTGGGCGAGGGGGTTTAAATACTAGAGTAGATCAAATTGCCTTCTGCTCAATGTTCATTGATGCCTTTGTCATTGTCACTACAATGATCATTTGTCTCCAGCATTTTCCTATATCACTGATGCCCAATATAGGTGCCTTCTTGCTTTAGCTGGACAAGTGAGATGACTTTCATGAAGGGAATATATATACGTACACACATACACACATTAACTTGGCATGCATTTATGGCTTTCTTTGCTCATGCTCTTCCCTCCCAGGAACACACACATACTTTGTCATGATCAGGCACCATAGCAGGAGTTAAGGGCAACGAATTGTTAGGGTAATTAATCATAGGAAAATGCAACCAAAACATGAAATAAAATCAGTTAAGATATTAGATATATTAAGCAATAAGTAGCAGTTATCAATGCACATTTCTTTGGGCCATACTGAGATGTTACTTTGTCCAAAAGCTTGTCTGATCGAGAACATATTTTTTGCAAGAAGAACATCAAATATTGAGTTAGTTTGGCTTCTTTAACTGACAATTCCAAAATCTAGAAGCAGTCCCTGAAAAGATCCCTTTCAGGTCCTCAGAAATGTACTGTACTGAGGGTAGGACAGAAAAAGGAGAGGTGTTTTTTTGGAGATTTTAAAAATACAATCAGATTCATCTGAGAATGAATCTAGTTCCATTGCTTTAAAGAGTTAGAAGTTAGAAAAAGGAGGGTTTTTTTTTGGAGATTTTAAAAATACAATCAGATTCATCTGAGAATGAATCTAGTTCCATTGCTTTAAAGAGTTAGAAGTTATAATCAACTACTTTGAACTGTTTCCAAAACAGATTGTTTCCTACTGAAATTACATTCTGAAAAGAGAAGTCCTCAAGAAAAACATTTTTAGTATGGTTATTCTTACATGTTCAAGGAGCAGTAATTACTCACAAAATTCTTTTGGATGTTAATTTTTTTTTACAATAGACATAATTTCTTTTTTCCCCATAACAGATCACATGACATAAAGACTTTGTCAAATTAAGGAGTAAATGCAGTCCTGAATCTAAGATTTCTCTTGTTTGGAAGTATTTTCAAGAAGAAGAAGGAAAACATTTCTGGTACGTTCTATTTATTTTTAGTAGTATGAATTTAGGATTAAATTTCTTGATTTCTTTTGATATTTCAGTTGTTAAAGAATAAGACCTTTTGCAAATGTAATGAACTATCTTTGAACATTACTGGAAAAAAGCACAAAGAGCCTAGTTCCACTTTTCTCTTCCGCATGATTGTGAAGGGAGACTACTTTAAACTATTTAGATTATCCATTACATCTGAAATTGGGGAAGATGATTCTAACAAATTTGGAAGAGAAAATAGAGACTTGGGGCTATGGCTATAACAGATAAGAGAAAAATATGAAAGATGCTTGCTGCTTACATTCATATAATACTAAACTTGTTCTAGTATTATATCAGGTCAAATGCATTTCCATACATTGTTCCATACTCCTTACATATTTTAAATGAATATGCTTTGCATATCCAATAAAAAGATCTCATGAATCAACTCAGCAATTACAATGAAAGGCAGAAAATAAAATATTAAATAATAAATGTTGGATCCCATGTAAACATTTCAGCCAGCAACTAGCAGAAGAATATTTTTTGAAGGACTGTCTACCAGATCATTATCCAGATAGAGTGATAATATTTTCACCTTTGATGCAAAATGCAGTTTCTGTATTTTACAGCAAAGAAGACACTAAGAACAGAATTAAGTCTCTGACAATGCTATAATTGCCCAAATGTGAAATTGGTATATAGTTAATTTCTCTAGTATTGAAGCAACCTTGTGTACTTGATTTAGATCACAATATCTACAAAAAGCAGAAGAACTACTAGAAGACAAAGAATCTTACATCCCAGTGAACATTAATGCAACACAAAAACTAGACAATCAGATCAAGAGAAGTATCCATGACCTCACTAAGAAAGGCCAAATTACCAAAGATAAACAGTGGCAGATAAGAAAAGGTGGACTCATCCTTTTATGCTTCTACAAATGCCCCAAAATGCACAAACATGATATACCTCTCCAATCAATCATATCAATAGTGGGGACCCCTGTCTACAACATCACAAAAGAATTAACAAAAAGGCTTTGGCACCTCACAAGAGGAAACAAACATCCATCAACTTTCCACTACAGTGCCTTCAAACAATCAGAGACATGACTATAGAAGAAGACAAAATCATGGTCTCATTTGATATCACAGCTCTGTTCATGTCCATAGATTTGGAATTAGCAAAGAATTTATGTCAACATTGTTCCATAGCACAGTTGATTTAACCAAATTACACGGAGATTGAAACACCCAAGGATTATGGATCTCATAAACCTCTGCCTAATGACATATTCCAATTTGATGGACAAACTTACCAACAAATTAAAGGTACACCTATGGGATCACCAGTTTTAGAACTTATAGCAGAGGTTGCTATGTAACATCTAGAAGCTATAGCATTTCCACAAATACAACCCAAAATATGGATCACATATGTAGATGAAATCTTTACCAATAAAAAAAGACTAATTAGAGAACATCCACAGAACCATCAACAACATTTTCAAAGGAATCAAGTTTACCAGGGAAGAAGAAAACAACAAATTGCTTCTCTTGCTGAACAGAACTTTAGTTAGATGAGCACAAACACTGCAGCAACCCTGAACAGCAGAAAAAGGAAACAGTATTTATGCAACATACTCCAACAATGGATACCCATGCAACTTTATCAAAAAGTGTCTGACCACTCAACCCAATACAGTACAACCAGTACAAGCTCTAAGAAGAGTAACACTGCTATACATCAATACTGTCTCAGAAATCACCAACAGACTATTGCAACCACTTGGAATCAGCGTAGCACACAAACCAATAAAAACCCTTTAAAATATCCTAATAAATAAAAAACCCAGCAACCCCAGAAGAAAAAACAGTAGTTATCTACAACATAATAGTATAATGATTGCAACAACCACACATAGGACAAACAGCCAGAAGACTGACAGAATGCATCCATGAACACTAGCATTCAAAATACATGATGAAAACTCTTTAAGTTCATAACATATGCACAGATACAACCATAGTCTCAATTGGGAAACTGATCATCATGGAACCGTGATGGCGAACCTATGGCATGTGTGCCACAGGTGGCATGCAGAGCCATTTCTGAGGGCATGCGAGGTGTTGCCCTGTCAGCTCCAATGCACATGCATGAGTTGGCCAGCTGATTTTCAGCCTTGATTGACACGCAAATTGTAAATTTGGGAATGGACTTCTGATTCAGGAAGCCTCCTGAAGCCTCTGGAGGGAGAAAAACTGCCCAGCGGGCAACCTGGAAATCCATTCCCGAACTTCCGGTTTGTGTGTTGAGCCTTTTTTTGCACTCCCCAGGCTACTTGGTCCAACGGAAGTTGGAAAATGGCCAACCTTCTGACCTCTGGAGGGCCTCCGGGGGGTGAGGGAAGCCCTTTTCACCCTCCCCAGACTCCTAGAAAGGCTCTGGAGCCTGGGGAAGATGAAAAACAGACCTTCCAGGCCCACCAGGAGTTGGAAAATGGGTTCTTTCTGGCCTCTGGGGAGGCGGGAGAGACCATTTTCACCTTCCCCAGGCTCCTATAAAGCCTCTGCAGCTTGGGGAGGGCGGAAAATAGACCTACTGGGCCCAGGTTTGAAACGGGCCATTTCTGGCTTCCGGGGTGGGCCGGGGGAAGCTGTTTTCACCCTCCCCATGCTGGGGGTGAATGCGCGGGACAGCGGGGGGTGGGTCATGCACGCATGCGCAGGAGGCACAGTGCGGGGGACATTAAATTATGGGGGTGGGCACACAAGCATGTGCGATAGCGCACATGCTTTTTGCACCCGAGGCGAAAAAGGTTCACCATCACTGTCCTAGACCAAGCCAATCAAAAATGATATGGAATTTCTAGAAGTTTGACACTCTTGACAAGAAACACATAGACATAAACAATATATACTATGGAAAAGAGACAAACAACATGCCAAAAAGGGAACAAAAGAGACCAAAACACCTCCCTACCAGCAATTAGAACCTATATGAACATAGATTAACTC